GCCTCCGCCCAGACATCCTGTTCATCCCCGACCTCCCCGCGCACAAAACCAAGCGCAAACGGTACCAGGGGCCGGAGTGCAAATCCAAGCACGATGTTTACATTGTTGAAGTGGGCTACACCAGTGACCTGCAGCACTCCGACAAACTCGAACAGAAAACCGCACAGCATGCACGGCTAACAGAGGAACTCACGAAAGCAGGCTGGACGGTGCACTACACCGAGGCGCAAATTGTCACCCTGGGAAGTACTGGGACTCTAACCAACACACTAAAACCGCTACTATGCAGACTCGGCTCGTCCGCTGAGCAGGCCCAGAAGACCTGCCTGCACCTCCACCGGCAAACAATCGAAGCAGCGGGCACGATTATCTGGGCGCGGCGAGTAATGGAGGGTACAGTCAAGTAACAGGTACAACCCGAACGGTTTCCCACGGTGGTGCGGGCATACAGGAGCGGCTACGCCGCCCCTCAGTTCCCCACCCCCTTAACACACGCCAGGCCCCGGCCGGCGTACTATTATTATTATTATTATTATTTCCGCCCCGTCCCACTCCACCCTACCCTGCTCTGCCTCGCCCCGCTCTGCTGCTCCTTGCCCTGATCCGCTCGGACCTGCAGCACCCCGCACTGCCCCACCCTGCTCTACTGCTCCCTGCCCTGCCCTGCTCGGACCTGCAGCACCCCGCACTGCCCCAACCTGCTCTACTGCTCCCTGCCCTGCCCTGCTCGGACCTGCAGCACCCCGCACTGCCCCAACCTGCTCTGCTGCTCCCTGCCCTGCTCCGCTCGGACCTATGCTGGGCTGTGCCACCTTGGCCTCCGCCTCAGGACTATAGCCGCTTTGGTTGCCCCTTTCCTCACCGGACTCGTCCCCATCCACACTAGCCACATCGGATTCGTTACCACATGCTCCATCATCCTCCACACTGCTACTGGGCTGGTTGCTCAGTCCGCTGGCTGTCTCCTCTCCGTCATCCCCCTCCGATAAGCTGCTCTCCTCGTTATTTAGTTCCTCCGCCGCTGCTTTGATGGCCACACGGGCCCTCCGCCCTTGACAACCTGCTCAAAGAGTTGGGCATGTTAGATGCCCAGGCAGAGTCATGTCACATGTCACACATCTCATGGTCAAGACGGGAAAGCACTCAATAGCACGAAGGTACTGATAAGAAGCTGTACATTACATAACCGGAGAATTGTCACTGATCCTTGTCACTGATGCAGACTGAGAGAGACTTTTTTTTGAAATCAACAGCCAGTGCTGTTGATTCGACACTTCACGACAACACATTCACATTCCCAGCTTTTCACCATCACCGGACCCTTCCCCAGTCCTGACTTCGCACCTTTCACCCAGATATTCTGCTCCTTCAGGATCCGTACCACCCGCGAGCCTTTCCAGCCACCAGGGATGCTGTCCGCGATGAATGCACCGAGAGAGGTGCTTGCTTTGCCCTCTTCGCGTAGAGCATGGTACAGGCGCGTCATCTCCGCGAGCTGAAAGCAACATAATTACACATAATTAGGCAACATCGGTTATGAACACTAAGACTCACTTATGCACCAAGAATCAAGAACAGCCCTTTAAAAACCATGCAAGCTCCTCACCTGTCCTGGGGTCGGCCTGAAGAATGCGAGATTCTCCTTGGCAAGGGCTTCTACCAGGTCCCGAGCTGAGCCACCCAGCAGCTTAACAAGCTGTGAAATACCGCGTGCAGCTCCCCCACCATTGTGCTGCTCAAATGCTGCAATCAGCTTCTCCCGGTTGTATCCTTTGGTGCAGGGGTCCCACGCGGTACCTGTATGACATCAGTGTAACCTCTTGATTCCTATAGAACAGTATCATGCATTAACAAAAACCTTACCCTCACATCCCCTGCGCTCAAGGGCCCGCTGCCGGTGCACCCTACGGGCAGGTTCTGTTCCATCATCAGCACCCTCGTCACCCATGCCATCGCCATTAATGGCCAGGGCTTCCTGCTGCTCTCCGCCGCCATTAATGGCCAGGGCTTCCTGCTGCTCGCCCATGGCATGCTGGCGCCGCCGCCCAACCTGAAGAAGGCAAGGTTGCCATCAGCAGTACATCACATCACATTCCTTATGGTACGGAAATGGATTGATCCAGCAGCCTTACCTCCAGCTCCTTTTTATCCTTCCACTCCTTCTCAGCACTGCAAGACAAAGAGTAGCACACAGCAGTCAAGTGCTCGAGCTTTAAGTGCTGATGTAGACTGGGTATGAAGTGGAAAATCAATCTCTCACGAGACATATCCTTGATTATGAATATGCCATCTCTGCTGTTCACATACCTTTCGTACATGGCCTTGAAGGCCGGTGAATGGCTGCAGGCGGTGGTGATAACTGCCGTGTACATTTCGTTGGTACCGGAGAATGTCTTGCCCCGGAAGTCCACGAAGGGGAGATGGGGGGGGTAGTTGGAAAAAAGCTTGCGCCCCTCAGCACATGAATTGCCACACACACAACGGCCATCTGGACCAATGGCCCAGGTCTTCCAGCCATCCCCTTTCCTGCCGTAATTGCAGAAGGGCAGCTGCTCATCCGTCGCCATTACCGTCAGTGTAGCTGTGCGAGGCTCCTCATTCTCGTGTACTTCGGCAGCATTGGTATTGTGCTGCTGGGTGGCCATTCCAGTTGCACCATGGCCCTCCAGCTGACCCTCGGGCCGACCGTTGGCACCTGCTGCTGCAACATTGGCAGCTGTTGGTGCAGACCTCAAATGTGTGTGGATGACTGACGCTGCCTTCCGGCCCAGCTTCCTCAGGAAACGACTTTTGTGCTGCTTGGTCATTGCCCGCACTGCCTTCCGTCGTCCCGCGTATACTCGCTTTGGATACCTAAGTAGTTTTAGAGCCTGAAGCTCTTCACAGAAACCATGAGCGAGTTTGCGAGCCTCTGAACACTCCATCCAGCCTGACACGCTGAATGCCACTCCGCTATAGGAAGGCCGCGTGTACAAAAGTATAGCACCGAAGGGACTTTTCGGATGGCCAGATGGATGGAAGCCGTAGCCTCTCTCAGGGAAACGGCGACCAAGGGCCTTGATTCGCTTTACGAAGCGCTTTAAAGCGTCCCTAATCTTTTCTTCCTCACCATATGCCTGCTTCCTCCCCGTGGTCACAGGGTTGCGAGCCGGTGCGATAACATTCGGTGCGCGTGTAGTTGGGGACTGCATTGACTTCTTAGGAATGCGCAAGCTTTATGTAACAGCTATATGGTAAGACTACAGGTCAGTAACGAATGACTCAAAAGGGTATTAGGGATTTCAAATTGTAATACAATGGCTGTCATTGCTGACTTTCAGGCGATGTATTCATGTCTTTTACAAATCGTTGGTGGGCAGTTGGGCAGTTGGGCAGTTGGGCATTTGAAATTGGTACTCATCGCATGCTCGTCGCATGCTCTTCATGCGGGCATAATCATTGTGTAATTTTGAAAATCTTTGGTAGAATATTTGTCAGTGGGTAGCGGAAGTGCGTCCCACCTTAGTGGAATATACTCATATTTGGCCTCCCCACGGTGCGCAAAGGCGCGAGGTGGGCATCGCTTCATAGCTCCCAAAACAATAAGCAATATAATGGTCATGCAAAGATTTCTTCGGGCTTGGCATTTGACACATTTGAAGATTTGGACCCCCCAAAACAATTATCATCATGCAACATGGCCATGCAAACAATTCCATGCGCAGCCGTTACAATATTTGCATATCTTCGAGCGGCATGTTATGCTCGTGCCAGTCAGTCCTCGCGCCGCATGCCTTCAAACATTTAGTTAGACTTTTAGTATTAGAGTTATTCCTCCAAAGCCGGCGCTCACCGCAAAGAGCGATGTCAGACAGCGGCGATGGACAACCCAGAGGTGCGAATTTACTTTTCAGCTTGGACGCCAAGGGTCCTCCACAGGCAACGGATTATGCATAGCGAAGATGTAGGATTAGCTCATCAAGATAGCAACGATGACTGCGTTATTATGCAGAAGTGATGGACCTTACGCGAGATGGTGCCGACCAACCCCCACTGAGACGCCGCCGACTGAATAACGGAGCCGCTGTGAGCACGAACAGGTGCTTATGCTCATGGGAAGGTCTTAGTACGGTGCACAGGCTTGCGCGGGAGGTTGGGTTACACAGGCCAAGAGCCCTGTTCGCACCTATTTGCGCCTTTTGTGTGGTGCCATCTTGTGTTTTTTTGGTTTGTTTAGTAACGAAACGTGAATCATGCGTCGTCGGCAGGCTTCCAGCGGCAGGCGCCCCAAGGTTTATCGTGGACATGACCGCCAACCGAGGTAACCGCACGAGCATGCCATGCCCGGCCAGTGGTCCCTCGCGTCCATGCAACAACGGTACTGGATCTTCACGACGATACGCCATGGACCTGACGGGTGGGTTGCTATGTGCTTTCGTCCGGTTCGTGGTTGGGTGGCCATCTCCCTTGATAATTGAGACTGTTGCTACTGGCTGTAGGCACGGACGACTGGGGACCGCAACAGCAACACAGGCCCCAGCCAGGAACCTCTGTCATCGAGATCTCGTCCGATAGCAGTGACGATGACGACGATGGCGACGGTGGGTCGGTGTCGCTCAGTGCAGCATCACCTCACCATGCCTTGTGTCTGCTGTTGCCAGGTGTTGCATCCAATCATAACACATATAATCACTGACTACTGCCCAACGTTCCATCGACTCCTGAAGCATATAAACGCATTCCCCTGCGTCCCCGGTTCCCCTTCATCCTTGTCCAACCAGCACGGTGCTGCATGCTGGTGTGTGCCCTGTCGGTCCGTTGGGTGCATCAGCCGCAGGTCCATCAGGCGATGTAGCACACCGGCCAAGCACCGCCACCGCGGGCAGGCATGACACGGCATCGACAAGGCGGAGGTACCGGAAGGGCACAGACCGCTTTGGCAGTTCGTGCCTCCACTGTCAGAACCCAGGTTGGAAATTGGGGTGTCTCGGTCCAGCAGGAGAGCGTCAGGATGTTGTTCTGGCACCGGCGCGGAATAGATCCCTATCAGTCATGTGGCCTGACCAGCACCAGCAGCCGCCAGGCCCGGATGACCTGCAGTTCGAGCAGTTTCATCAGTTCCAGGACTTCCTCGCGTGGCGGGGACAACAGCAGCAGTCTATAGCGCAGTGGCAGCCATCCATGCCAGGGTGGCAGCCCACCCAGAGCCACCCGGTGCAACTAACTCCTGGCGTGCACATGGTGTGCATCGCGGACCTGGAGTGCAGGGAGGGTTGCATCCGCAACATCCAGCAGAGGGCCTTTATGGGGCGCGCTCGACCACATTTACCGTGGGTGCATTCCGTTCGCCACGTGGCTGGACGTTGCACCCATGCGAGATGCGCTGCCGTGGCGCGTGTGTCCATCCCACTGGCACAACGGGACGGTCCGCAGCGAGCTAGTCGCACACGTTTTCGTGTTCCAACACTCCGCCCCTGATGGGGTCCGCAGAGGGCGCCCAGACTGGCTCAGTGTGCAGTACAAGGTTTCGGATGACCACAAGACGGATTATGGAAGCCATGGTGTCGTGTATGCGGTGTGTATGCGGATTCCCCCTTCGAACATAAGAATGCATGGTTCTTTCTCATGGCGATAAAGTTGGTTGTCGTTACCTGGAGGGTTGGCGGGTGGTGAAGTGTTGATGGGATGTGTGTGGTGTCTAGTGACATACGGCGGGTAAACGCAGTGGGCTCGTGTCCAGTGTATGTATGCACCTGTACAGTGCGTAAACATGGCACGATACACGACTAATATTGTGTGTGGTTAGACATGTTGGTGATAGGTGAAGGGAGACACATCCGGCAGGGCATGGAGTGGCCAAACTTATGCTCATTTTGGCGGTGTCTAACATACTTCTGCATACTTCTTCTCTGTGGACGCCAGAGGTGCCACTAAGACCTACCTCAGAGGGCAGCTCGCGCAGAGTGTCTTCACCAGCCATACCTGGGTTCAATACTTCGAAAGGTGTGTCATGGATGAACACGGGGGGTGAACACAGGGGTTGCCAACGGGGAACTGGTACATGCTTGGTGTACCATCATAAGGGTAACATCCTCGTGACATCCACAGGATCTTTGGCATACCGGAGCCAGCATGTTTCCAATCCCAGCCAGTCCTACATCCGACAGCTGCGTGCGTCTCCACACTGCCCGTCGGAGGCATCTTGTGGTACAGTGTATTCATGCGGAACTGTTCGTGTGACACGTATGCCTGCAAGACTGGCTCTGGGCCATGCCGGACTACGACTTCGATACCGCCTGCACGGTTCGATGTCCAGCCGTGGTAAGTCGTGAGGTTCTGTGGTCGGCCGATGGGGGTGCAATGGTGAACTGCACATGGTGAAAAGGGTTGTGGTGCCCAGTGTATCGAGAGAACCCAGGACCTGTCAACTAGGTAACCATGTCAAGGAGCTTGAATGTCTTTGTTGGCCGTGTACATATCTGCCATCACAGGTGCGACTCACAGGAGCGGGATCACCGTGTTGTTCCTGTGAGATCTATGGGACGACTGGTGTGTCGTGCCTCCATTTGGAGTATGTGCACCACCACACCGCCGAGCTCAACACCAGTGACCTGGCTGCCGGGCGGATTGACGAGGGTCGTCGTGTTGTCCACATCACACCATCCGTGTCAGGTAGTGTGCAGCCCGGGGACTACTTCTGGCTGGAAGATGACACCCTGGACGGCACCCTGGTGTGCTGTCTACAGTGTCGTGAAGGACTGCGTTGCTGCCACAGTGGCCACGGTGGCAAGTGCATCCACGTGGCGAGCGTGCAGAGCTGCCCCTGTCACTTGCAGATGATGTGACGCAGAGCGACCCAGAGGTCGGTGAGGCGATAGAGCAGGAGGTGGATGGTGATAGTGTTAGCAGCACTGAACTTGACTGTGATGGTGACGACAGCAACAGTGACATTAGCAGTGTTGGAGAGGATGCAGACGGTGGTGCATCCGCCATCCTCTATCCATATCCGTGTGACATCGCTACTGCATCCAAAATGTGCAACTGGGAGGCAACCAACATGCCCCGTCCGTCAGCAGTGGGTGGCGGCAGTCTGGTGAGGCTGCAGGTGAACCTCAAGCCCACACCGCCGGTGGGAGGCGCATGTCCCTGTAGCTGTCTGTACAGGGAGCCTGTGTTCATCCGGGATGTGGTGGTATATGGCATGGACACCATGGGCCCTCGGTGTGCAGCTGAGTACATGCTCCGTAGCCGCTGTGGCAGGTCGGCATGCAACATTGTATATGACGGCTTTGGTGATGGGCTTTTTCGCCACAGCAGTCGGTCGTACTTCTCCCTCCGTCACATGTACAACTTCACGGACCAGTTCCTCACGACAGGTGCAACACCACAGGCCTACGCAGAATCTCAGCAGCGTCTCGCCATGACAACATTGACCACCAACACCTCCGACCCCAAGCAATTTTCGGTGTCAACCTTCCGTGCGGCATGGTATAAATTCATCACTCATCTGGACTTGCCGTACAAGTTTACATGCCCGGTATGTGGCACCTCGCCTCGCAGGCTAATCTGCGACGGTACGGCAGTCACTATGCTGCTAGGCTTTTACCACGGGGCGCCGGTGACAGACAGCATGCCTCATGGTGGCCCCCCGGGGCATGGGCATTCGAGCGCAGCAACAGATACAGCAGCAACAGCAGCAACGACACGACGGGTGCATGGGCGTAGTGAGCACTGTTGGTGCTGTGATCCACAGTCGCGTAGCCTGCTGCGGCGCATTTCTTCCTGTGTGCATGGTGACAACAAGGACGTGTATGGGCGTCCCGTGTCTGGCGAATTGGAAGGAGTGGAGGATATCGACCTGCGGAATCGGCTCCAGGCGGCACTCTGGGACTGGGCCGGTGACAACTGCTGCACGGCGACCATTGAGTTTGTGCATCTGGTGCAGGCATGCACCTTGGGCATCAGCGTGGATGGGGGCAGGGAGCCGCGGGAAAAGCTCCAGAAGCGCGCACTATTGGTGCAGCTGGTCGACTGCCTTGCCAGCCCTGCACTGACGGTTGCCTACCTGCCAGTGGCTGCTGTGAGGCAAGTTATCAGGCCATGGTTAGAGGAAACCGGGGGTGAGTTGAAAGACCGAGCAGGTGTTCTGGAGAACAGTGCCCCGGTGCTGTAGGGTGCACTAAAGGTGCTGTTGGAGGAGCGCCCTGACTGTGTTTGTGCTATGAGGGCCTTCCCCACGCGCTTGTGTGACCTCACTGAGCGGTGTGTGGCTGGGTTCGATGGTGGCCCCGTGTTACCTGTGCCTGTTGCGCCTTCCGCGCTGTCCGATGCCTGCTTGCAGACGGGAGTTTGCTGTGGGCTGTGTCGTGTACGAGATCGTGTACAGACTGAGATGGATGTAGGGCCAAGTGGACGAGGGGATGTGGAGCATGGCGGAAGCAGTGTGTGTTCCCACGCTTTCATCGCTAGCTTCCCACGCTTTCATCGCTAGCTTCCCACGCTTTCATCGCTAGCTAACCCCTATAGGGGGCCTCGGACGGGTGGAGTTTTCACGTTGTTTTGTGAGCACCGGATTTGCTACGCGTTCTTTATCCTGCCGAAGGCAGAGGGGCGGAACGAGGTGTATAGTTGGATGGTGTCGTACCTTGAGAAGGCACCCGACCTGGTGGTGTACGACTTTGCCTGCAACCTGCACGAGTACTGCATGAACCGCGCGCCCGCGTTCTTTCAGGGCACACAGTTTGCAGTGGATCGCTTCCATTGGGGGAACCATGTTAGCTGTTCGCATGCATATAACCTTTCACTTTTCCCGGGCCTCAGCTACATCAACTCGGAGGTTGCCGAGCAGGTGAACAGTGAGCTACGGCCCTTCAAGGCCATGCTAAGCCAGATGAAACAGGCTAACTTCATGGCCTGTATGCGCCTGGCGCTACACCACCGGAACAGTGCGCGTGTAGACACACTGAATCGGCGCCTGGTGTATGCGCGAGAGTTCACCGGTGACAACACGAACGGTTGACTTGGACAGACGAGGCTGACTATGGGGACATAATACCGGATTTTCATTGACTCTGTATACACGTTGGACTTCTGCGGACTTCTAGCTGAGGGGACCTTACAGGAGGTTTGGGAATGCTTCATGTCTTGCAGGAGGTTTGGGAATGTATTGTCACACGATATGTCACCACAAGGGTCGTTTGGCTGCGGGGAATGATTATACAATAAGGGCTCTCCTTAAAGCTCCTGCTTGGCTCGGTTGGTGTAGTCCGGCTTAGTTTAATTGGGGCGCGCGATCGTGGTAGGCGAGGACGGGCTGGGGACGGATCCCTGTCGAGCCTAGAGGTAGAAGCACTAAGGGCGGACCTTATGGGATGCTGTGCATATATCCTCTGTCTATTCTGCTCTGCCGGCAAAAGCACGTATCGAGGTAGGGTAAGATCGCAGTCTTCTTACATAAAACAGGCATATATACCCTCCTGTAAATATATTATCCGTAATAATTAGTGGCGTGTACGCTCACGAAGAGTTGCTTCGAGAGCCAAACGACAAATGTTTGGCCTCTTTGACTGATCCGCGCCGGACCTTATCATAGGGGGCCCTATCCTGGATAAGTAGCGTTCATCCGACTAACGACAGATGAACAACAATTGAACATGCTCAAACCACAACGGAAAGCGCCTTATATGCTAGTCAAACAACACCCTAAGTCTCAACTAAATCAAGACGAGATTCGTCCAACTACCTTCGGTTGGCTTAACCACCTGTGGATAGCGACTAACTCGGTGGTGGCACAGATGTTTTGGTGTGACAGCATCATCTCACACAGCAAGTTACAGTGGTAGCATTTATGTACAGATGCGACTCGTGTCGAGTGAGCATACTCTCGTCACTTCTCGCCACTCACACATCCCCAACCTCCCCATCGCCACCTCCATATAGTACTGCAGCGCCCTGCACTGATGGGACCACCCGCTGCCACTGAGAGTGTGTCCAGTCCCCTTTCTCGAGTGCAGGGACCGACCCTATCCACGCAATCGTCTCGTGAACCCAATCAACTCACCGCCCCGCCACCACTTTGCAGTTCCTGGAAACCAGGTGTCCCATTCCGTCCAGCATGACAAAGCGCATGTTCTGCGTGCCCCGAAAATAGCCACCATTCGCCGCCCCACCCTCTCCCCCGTCAGCACAGACGAAGGCGGCACAAGCCTGGCGCTCCAGAGCCTCAGTGCACACCTTACTCAGGATCTTCACACCAATACCAAGCTCGGCGTGCTGCTGGAGCTTCCCCACCGCATTCGAGTTCACCGATTTGAGCTGTTTTGCAGTCTTATCTGTCGTGTCTGTCACGGTATCCGCCAATGTGAAGGCGTCAAGCGGGAAGTACAAAAGGCTGCTATTGGATTGGTTTCGGACACGGAACACCTGGGACTGGCTGCCTGGTCGCAAGAGAGAGGGACCACTGACCCGCTCCAGCACCAGGTCACTGCTGACAGGATTCGGTGCAGCTGCAGAGTCGGCATCTGCATCAACATCGCGCGCCAGCATCCACTTCCGTGTGCACCGAAGGACCGCTGCTGTACTGCTGCTTAGCTCCGCAAGGCTTTTAACAAGACCTTGCTGCTCACATGTGGCCGCTCGCAAACGCACCAATAAGGCTGCAGCCCGTGCATCCATGTCAGCAACCTGTGCCACCATCCTGGCCAGCTGTACCTTTAGGTCCGCGTTCTCCTTGACAAGCAGCAGGTAATGGCGACGCCAGATCAGGGGGTCCTCACAGGTTGCTGGATCGAAAGCCGCACTGACAGCCGTTGCATCCACCATGGGCGGGAGGACCAGGGGTCCAGCACCACGAAGTGGCATGGCGCCAATCACAGGAGTCGGGGCCAAGGGGGCTAGCGTGGCAACCGGAGGTGCACCAGCACTGACAGCCATTGCATCCACCATGGGCGGGAGCACCAGGGGTCCAGCACCACGAAGTGGCATGGCGCCAATCACAGGAGTCGGGGCCAAGGGGGCTAGCGTGGCAACCGGAGGTGCGCCAGCACTGACAGCCGTTGCATCCACCATGGGCGGGAGCACCAGGGGTCCAGCACCACGAAGTGGCATGGCGCCAATCACAGGAGTCGGGGCCAAGGGGGCTAGCGTGGCAACCGGAGGTGCGCCAGCACTGACAGCCGTTGCATCCACCATGGGCGGGAGCACCAGGGGTCCAGCACCACGAAGTGGCATGGCGCCAATCACAGGAGTCGGGGCCAAGGGGGCTAGCATGGCAACCGGAAGCACGCCAGCACTGACAGCCGTTGCATCCACCTGCTGAAGGGCACCACCACCCAGGGTTCCAGCTTGCGGGTTGATGGGTCTTTGCTGCGGCGACATGTGCTGTTGCTGAGGGGGAGACCCAGCAAGTAGCATGGCCATTGGCCCAGTGCCAATTCACCCCTGGCTGCCATGAAGCACCGTGTCTGTCTGTTGCAACTTGGTAAAAGACGGCCCCGCCTGCGGTCCCGGCTGCTGGTTCTGTGTGAGTATCGCCTGTTGCTGCTGTATGAGTTGGTGGAGGTGCTGGAGTGCGGGGCCTGTCTGCAGCTGGGGCGGCAGCTGGGAGGGCGGCAGCAGTGGCTGGGGCAAGACACCCATGGGACCGCCTACACACGAACGTATGGGCACGCGGGGTACAAAGGGTTGGATCAGCAATAACAGTTGTCAGAGTGCCACCACAAGAGTCGCTACTGAACGAGATAAGGTCGCGGGGTGAACTGTGATTGGATGGGGGCCTTACATCTTCTATGCTGACACGTGACATTTGTCTACCTGCCAACTCTGTCAAACGGTTTCACTCCTTGTGCCTGCATAAAAAATGCGTGAATCGTGCGCAGAACCCACCCGGGTTGCCGTCGATGCCAGTGACGCCTTGCCTCGTCCGCACAAAGTCAAGTAGACAGAACTCGTGGGCCTTGAGCCTCAGTGCGTTAGCAACGCCTCCCAACACCTCTCCCGTGAGAGGTTTGGTAAGCGTCTCATGCCTGACCACCTCTTGCCAGGACTGCAACCAGGGGGGGATGAGATGGGTACGTGATATGGACACCGGGCAGCTCCGGTGCACGCAAGGGGGACACCGGATCCGACGACACGAACTCGTACGAGCACCAACCGGGTAAAATGACCATTCCACCACAACATACTAAAGGTTAACTTTATTGATAACTCACACGCATGTCTGAGACGTCCTGAGAAGAGAATTTGACGCCTAGCTGCCTCTCAATCCCGGGGATGCTGTCCGCGACCCTTGCGAGTGAGATGGTTATCCCATATGAAGGAAAAGTACAGTTTGTATTCGTTTTCTTGCCTAACTGTTGCACGTGCCGGTTCAGTTCATCCAGGGTACCTGGTTGAGCCTTTCGGCGTTTGTTAGCCCGTCCATCGCCGCCGTCTGACATCGCTCTTTGCGGTGAGCGCCGGCTTTGGAGGAATAACTCTAATACTAAAAGTCTAACTAAATGTTTGAAGGCATGCGCAGTGTTTTTTTTAAAGTAATATATTCCTTTTAAGGAATAAAGAGGCCATTTTGGATGGATGGATGGATGGATGTTACAAGCTTCAGCGAGCTCGTACGGCCCAAACGAACCCGGAGGCAGTGTTCGGGCCGAAACGGAAACCTGCCGAAACGGAAACCTGCCGAAACTAGTTTCGGCGATTTCGGCGAAGAGGTCCTGGTTCTGCAGAAATGCCGAAACTAGTTTCGGCCCCTTTCGGCTAGCGCCGTACGGCGGAACCTAATTTGAATAGTTTCAAAGTGTAGGCGCGTTGTGCAAGGCTGCGAAACTCTGCGAATGTTTAGTTTATCTTATCAATGTCTCAGACAACTTCCGTTGTCAGTGTAGACACAGATTCGGTCAAAAACAAGGGCGGAAGGACCGCTGATCAGACCGTTTGGGCTCACTTTGAGAAGAAAAAATATAATGCAAAGTGTAAGAACTGGACTATCATCTGCAAGTACTGCCGGACCGAGTCCAAGCAAGGGCGCCTTCAGGAGATGCGCGTCCATATCGCGCAAAAGTGCGCGGGACCCGTCCCGCCTGAGGTCCGGCACGAGCTGCAGGCATTAGTGACCAAGGGCGCCTGCAGCGCCTCGACTCGCACCTTGACACGCAAGGACTGCCAGACAACGCTGAAGCAGCACTTCGACACGGCACGCGTTCCACCTGACGTCAAGGCGCGCATGCACACCAAGCAGCTTCGCGCCTTCGTCGTCTGCGGCATCCCCTTCAATGTCGCAGACAAGCCGATGTTCCTGGACTGGCAGACAGAAGTGCGGCCTGGACTGGTGCCAGCGAGCAAGTGTCCTGTTCTATCGCGCTAAGTTGAGGGTTATCATTTGGTGCACCTACCACCATACCCCTCCCTCTCCCCCCTGCCCTTACCCCCATTAGGCGCACGGGCGATGCGCTGCGAGCTGCTGGACAAGGAGTACTTGTACATCAAGAGCTTGGTTGAGAAGCGAATCCAGACTGAGGCGGCTGTGACAGCGGTCATCGATGGATGGACTGACCCGCGGGGCCAGTCCATCTACAGTGTGGTCATCACCTTCTCCTCAGATCGGAGCTCAGTACTCTTCGACTCGCGCGAGGTTACGGTGGAGAAGCACACTGCCGATTTCCTGGCGCGTAAGCATTAAGTGGTTAGCTAATTGTGGTTAGGTTCTGAACGGATCTTAAGGGGTTTCAGATAATGACGGCAGCCTGTACTTCAACCCACGGCACCACTCCACCTTCCTTATGTTACCTTGATTTATCCCCCGCGCCCCGCCCATACCTGATCCCGCTGTGCTAACCCACAGAGCTCTTCATAGAGTTCATCACGGCCGTCGGCTCAAGCAAGGTGGCGGGCTTGGTCACGGATGACACAGCAGCTGTCCGGAACGCACGGAACCAGGTTGCCCGCACTCCAGGGTTCACGCACATCATCCCCGTGCGGTGAGTCTTAGGGCTATGAGTGTTGGTGGCCTTGGTAGATTCGGGTTGTGTTTCAAATGCACAGCCGAGTCGCCTTGGCTGCAACCTTACCGATATCATTGTCATTGTCTAAGGAAGGCAACTGTGACCGTTCCACATGACAGGTGCTTCATGCACGCGTTTTACCTGGCCATGGGTTCCATCGCCGCTCACGATTGGTTCAAGGACATTCTGTCAAAGGCCCAGCGTGTTGTCACCTTCTTTAAGGCTTCACACCAGACCCTGGCCCTGCTCCGGGCTGCGGCCGCCAAGATGGACGTGACTCGGGGGCTGGAGACGACCAACAAGACACGGTTCACATCCGTGCACTCGTGCGCTGAGTCTGTCCTGCGCAACGAGCACCCCATTATCGATGTCAACCGCAGCAACCCCACCCTCCTCACGGCCTCCAAAACTGGGCCGGAGGTGAAGGCCATTGTCGAGGACCGGGTGTGGTGGTTCAACCTGGAGACCGTGGTCATGCTCCTTGGTTACTTTGCAAGTGTGATCATGGCGGTGCAGCGGGAGAAGACCACCCTTGGCGACATCACCCGGTACTGGGCGTGGCTGCGGCAGAAGCTGATTGCCATCGCCCCAAAGCTCAGCAACGGTAGGCTCATGGGGGTTGGGGAAAGGGATTGCCCGGGGGTTGGGGAAAGGGATTGCCCGGGGGTTGGGGAAAGGGATTGCCCGAGGGTTGGGGAAAGGGATTGCCCGGGGGTTGGGGAAAGGGATTGCCCGGGGGTTGGGGAAAGGGATTGCCCGGGGGTTGGGGAAAGGGATTGCCCGGGGGTTGGGGAAAGGGATTGCCCGGGGGTTGGGGAAAGGGATTGCCCGAGGGTTGGGGAAAGGGATTGCCCGAGGGTTGGGGAAAGGGATTGCCCGGGGGTTGGGGAAAGGGATTGCCCGAGGGTTGGGGAAAGGGATTGCCCGGGGGTTGGGGAAAGGGATTGCCCGGGGGTTGGGGAAAGGGATTGCCCGGGGGTTGGGGAAAGGGATTGCCCGGGGGTTGGGGAAAGGGATTGCCCGGGGGTTGGGGAGAGGGATTGTTGGCCGAATGTTGATAGTTGGACGAATGTTTGATGTTGGACTGTTTAACATAACTCTAAACCGTAAAACCCTGTTTCTAATCTTCCCTCTGCTGCAGACGTCGCCATGCACGTGTGCAGCGCGTTCAACCTGCGGGTGCGCGAGATGGACTGGCCCCTGTGCCGCCTGGCCCTGTTCCTGGACCCACGGTACCGCGGGCTGATCGACCCGAAGGCCTCCGTGAAGCCACTGTTCAAGCAGGCCATCGAAATCTCTAAGCGCCGCGGCCACGGCCAGCAGAGCAACGACCGCCTGGTGTCCCAGCTGGTTGTGTACAACGCACGTCAGGAGCCGTTCAACCTGCCCCCCAACGGCAGCTCCTTCGATGACCTCCGCCTGTGGTGGCTTTCGATGCTGCCCCTGCCCTCCGCGGACATGATTGCCCAGGTTGCCCTGACCATCCTGGACATTGTCCCGCATGCGGCCAGCGTGGAGCGCACATTCAGCATCATGGGCTGGTTCCAGGACAAGCGGTCCAACAGGTTCAAGGACGAGACCGTCAAGAAGATGACCACGATCAAGACGTGGTATGACAGCCAGGCCAGCGACAAGTCCGCCAACAACGCGAAGGCGTCGGCCTTGGAGGTCCCCACCATCTCCAACCTCGATATCAAGGAGCCGGTCACCCCTGGCCAGCCTGCTGCCAACCCCCAGACCGCGAACGCGGGTCCGGGCCCATCCGCCACTCAACCGGGTCAGGGCCTGGAGCCGCAGGCCGCAGCTAACAGGCGAGTTACCAGGACGGCAGTCAAGGCGGCAGGCCAGCCAGCACCTCCGGCGACTGGCGGCTCGGAGATCAACGCTGACTTCTGGGACGGCGAGGATGAGTCTGCCATCGCAGAGGACGTGATTGCGCACCTCGGTGCCATTGGCCAGGCGGTTCAGGCGGACATGGCGGCGGAGGTGCAGCTGCTCCGCAACCAGGGCAGCATGTTCTCGGCCCTGATGATGGAGGCCATCTATGGCATCGATGAGTCCCTCGACCCGCTCGCGCCAACACAGCTGCCAGCGCCCCCCTCGCGCGGATTGGCCCGTGACAATGACACCAACTTCGATGAGGACGCTCTCCTGATGGCGTACGGCGTGCTGTGAGCGAAGCGGGTGGCTGGCAACGGAATCTGGGTTCATACCCAATGTAAATAGCTGTACATTTTGTATTATAAGCCCTAGAGCTTGCTTGCATGTGTGTATGCCAGTATTAGATGTTTGAGGGTTACCTTTGGTTAGGTACCAGCGGTGGCTGGCGGTGGCTGGCAACGGAATCTGGGTTCATACCCAATGTAAATAGCTGTACATTTTGTATTATAAGCCCTGGAGCTTGCTTGCATGTGTGTATGCCAGTATTAGATGTTTGAGGGTTATCTTTGGTTAGGTACCAGCGGTGGCTGGCGGTGGCTGGCAACGGAATCTGGGTTCATACCCAATGTAAATAGCTGTACATTTTGTATTAGAAGCCCTAGAGCTTGCTTGCATGTGTGTATGCCAGTATTAGATGTTTGAGGGTTATCTTTGGTTAGGTACCAGTTCTGTGCAGGGCATGCCGTGATCTAGCACAAGGTTAGTGTCGACTAGGACATGGTGCGGTATCAGGTGGTGTTGAGCACGGAGCGACAGGCAGATTTAGAGAATGGGGCCCAGCATGTGGCACCCAAGATGGCTGTGAGCAGTGGTATGGAGGGCAGATCTCAACCTGGTTCCGCGGCCCCCAACCACCAGCAGCTTCATGTAAACATTTCCCTTTGCGCATCCCAACATCAGACGCCAGTTACATAAGAAAAATGTCAGTGAATTCAAGCTTTAATCGCAGATTAGTAACATTATGGTGCCCCGGAGTGCCTTCGGACACACATGAGCAGGTCCCATGAGGCGTAAAGGCACATAGGGCCCACGAACAACGTTTGCATACCATGGACGTCATAAAATACAGCATTTTCAGGGTTTCGGCAGGTTTCGGCAGGTTCCGGCAGGTTTCGCAGAAGGGTCCAAAAAACGGAAACTATTTCGGCAGTGGCAAGAAGGTTTCGGCCCGTACACTGCCCGGAGGCTCATGAACCGCTTTGACAGCGCCGTCGATAGGGAAAAGAAAAAAAGAGAAAAAGTAAGCGAAGCAAACAAAACAAACAACAAAAAGGAAAGTTTTACGCAAGAAGAAAACGGGTGTTTATGGGAAAGAACAGCGTCAATTTGACTCTGAAACACAATTGCCTATTACCGCCGAGAAAGTTAGGTAGTTAGGTGCTCATGCCGGGAGCGAAACATCTCAAAAATAGCCTTTGCAAGACCACGCTGATCATCCACTTGCATGATATCACGGATGTTCGCATTGACGGGCACACCGAGGTCCCAGATCTTCTGACGCGCAGACATAATCGCCGGACATTCTACCAAGAAGTGTTTCTCATCCTCAATAGCACCATTACTACGACACACAGCGCACACGCGGTGCTCCCTAGCCCTGTTGCTCTCACTGTTAACCGCCAGGTCAGAGACACACAAACGAAAGCGGATTAGGGAACGATGATGCGCCGGGGGGATATAACCCGCGTACGGCTTCGGTGGCCCCATCCAGTGCTTATGGCGGCCCATCTTCACGCCGGGCTTCCTACCGTCCGTAACGAAAACTCTAGGGTCCACAGCTAGCCTATCATTCGCCCAGTCGTCGTTGACACGTGTCCTAAGGGTATCCATCAGCGCTTCGACATCTAGCTTGCAAGCCGAGTAACGTCTAACCCTCATATCAATGCCTCCCCCGACTGCCTCCTCACCCCAGTCATGCTCTAAGTGGTTAAGGATACGAATGACTTTGGATCCCCAACCATCAAACTGTAAATTCGTTACTAACGCCAAACGAATTTCCTGACGAAAGGCGCTGTGGTATACGCTACTAGTGTCCTCCACCAAACTATTCCAGAAGCGAAGTACGGATTCAGCCCAGTGCAGCTGTAGCGGCATCTGACCTAGCTCCATGAACAGAAGCTGGAGGGGTGGTACAGAAGTCCCTACCAATTGTTTCATGAAAAAGATTTGGAGCTTGACCATGCGGTCTCGTATAGCCACATCGAAATAGCATGACCGCAGTGCCTCGTTAGCCGGATAGCCCTTTTCCAACATCGCGAGAACCTGGTCAGCCCCCCACACCTGCGAGCCGTATGATAAGACAGAACGAACTTGCGCATTGAAACACTTCATGCCGACGCTAGGTAGCAGCAGACCCTGCCGGCGCAGCTTGTTGCGCAGAGCAAACATGGCCCATTGGCCAGCCGAGAACAGCTCATCCGTGCAAGACGCAAAACCCGAGTCTGGTCCGAAGTGCAGCCCCAGATAACGGGCGCGTGTTTTCCAAGTGACCGGACGGAAGATCGGTAACCCCTCTTCAAGTGCACGCATGGTGACCAGGTTGTATCCGCTGAGAGCATAGACCTGCCTTCTAACCTGACCATTGGGGTGAAAAAACAATAACTCACACTTTTGCACGTTGACAGTGAGACCGAAAGCCTCTGACCACTCCCGCAGTGCCCGTAATAAGCTCATCAACCGTCTCAATGACATCGCGAAGAGGCTCAAGTCATCAGCATAGAGAGATAGGGGCACTCGCCGTCCTTCAACGCTAGGGGTGTCATGGGCCGCCATGGCGTCAGGAAGTGCGACGTCTAGGGCATCGATGTAATCTGCAAAACCTTCGACAAAAAAAACGAAGAGCGTGGGGCTCATAGGGCAACCCTGCTTGACCCCTTGGGTGGAGGGAATCGCCTCTCCTTTTGCTCCATCAACCTGGACTCGCATTTCCACCCGATTGTAGCAGCGCTTGATGACATCTAACGCAGAGCCCGTGACTCCTCGTTCCTCAAGTCTAACCCAGAGCAGCTCTCGATTAACCCGGTCAAAAGCTTTCTCAAAATCAATCTGGCAAACAAACAACGCTTGTCCGGGGACGTTAACAAAATCCTTACGGCATCGGTCTGTGAGGTGTCGCACCAAGAACAAATTCTGAGTGGTGCCGCGCCGTGGCCGAAAGCCACCCTGATAAGGGCTCCGTGCACCACAACGTTCCCCCCAGGCTTTTAGCCTCCGGTCGAGCAATAACGCATAAAGCTTAGACAAAGCCCCACCGACGGCAAGCCCCCGGTAGTTTTTTGGATCCATGACGTCGCCCTTCTTGCGGATGGGTGTGAGGGCGGATATCTCGAACTGCCTTGGGTAATCCCCAGTCGACCGGATATGTTCCAACAGACGCAGCAAATACGGTGCAAGCACCATCTCTTCCTTTTCGCCCACCTTTCTAGTGGCATACTTATAGCACTCAGCAGGGGCCCTTTCAAGTCCTGGGGATTTATTGTTGCCCAGCATTTTTAGTGCAGCAATGACCTCTGCCAAGGTAAACGGGGCACTGAGGGCCGCCGCAGCAGCTACTCTCTGATTTCGGGCTAAGCAGCTCTCACCAGCCCAGCCGCGCGGTATTGTAAGTGAGCACCCATTTACGAGGTTCATCATGTAATCCGCTCTAACCTCATTAAAAGTGTTGATCTCGTCGTTGTATAGTGCGTCAAAATAATCGCGCCAGCTGTTGACGTCACGTATTGGGCAATCAGGTGTCGCCCCCTGGTTAAGTTGCCGCCACAATGCACGCGGATTCCCTTTGCACTCCTCAAGAAACGAAGTAAAATGCGATACACGATGGGCAGCCATTGCCTCCTTCCTAATCCTCTGGTAGCGAGAGCGCAGGAGTGTAAAGATATGCCGCGCCTGCTCATCAGCAAGTAGTCCCTGCGCCCTCATATGTGCCTTTTGCAGCAACATGTCGCTGCGTGCCGCTGCGCATTCCTGGGTCCACCAGGGCGCATCCTTTTCTTCCCTCACACGCTTGGGTGCTGGGCACCGTTTGCAAAAAGCCCTCTCCAACGCTGATGAACAGGCTCGAGTGAGTACTTCAACAAACGCGGTGCTGTC